GGAGTGGCATTTGCGTGTCATCCTTAAGCTTCGGGGAGGGAGTCTCTGAGATGCTCTCCTCGGCTTGCTCTTAGCCTCGGAATGGGGAAGGGGTTTATAAAGGGGGCATCTGGGCAGATACGTGCCGTTCTCTCTCGTTCTTTTCTCCCTTTAACTTTATGCTGAAACTGTCTGATGATTTTCCTCCCGTCCTGGCTGCAGTAGAAAGTCCCACGTAGTTTTCTAAAAGCGGACATCTCTTGAGCAGGTGGTTTTTGCTGTCGCCTTTGTTTTTGTTTGTTTGTTGGTTTCACTGCTTTGGGAAGAGATATATCCAGTTTAACTCTGGAAACGAAATACCATTATCTAGTTGCTTTCTGTGGAATAGCTTAAGGTCTTCTACAGTTGTTCAGGCAACAATATGATCGTCACACTTCTAGATGCATCTCAGATCCATCTGAGAGTCTGATGAAAGCCAGCACTCAGCGTTCGGGGTGTTCTTGGGCTCCTCGAAATGGTTCTTGGACCCCCGGTTAAGAACCAGTGCCACCTGTGCTTTGTTTTCTGCTCATTAAATAGACTTAGTCTCTGTCCTTTAGGGTCCATTTCCACAGACAGTTGCTGTCCTTGACCTTTATTGCTGTTGAAATTGAGCACTGACATTAGGTAATATCACCAGTTTTTGTGACATGTATACTTTTATATGAAAAGTGGACGGCTTTTCAGTGCAAACATAAATGCAGTTTTGTCAAAAATACTCAGCAAGTTATGAAGATTATTGGTTTAGTGACCCATTTGGGTGTTAAATGCATACTGAAACAATCGTATATCAGTATATGTCATAACCGTTTTGATTCCTCTGGGAATCAAATGTGTGTCCTGTAATATTAACGCCCTTTAACATATGCATGTGTTAAAAGTGCTATATAGTTCACCCTTGAACAACACAGGTTTGAACTGTGTGGATCCTCTTACAGGCGGATTTTTTTCCAACAAATATGTGCAGTACTGTAAATGTATTTATGATTTCCTTAATAATACTGTCTTTTCTCCAGCTTACTTTATTGAAAGAGTATAGTAGATAACACATATACACAATATGTGTGAATTGACTATGTTATTGATAAAGCTTCTGGTCAGTAGTAGACTATTAGTAGTTAAATTTTGGGTAGTCAAAAGTTATACTCATTTTCAGCTGCACAGGGGGTGGGTGCCCCTAACCCCCGTGTTAAGGGTCAACTGTATTGTCTTAACTTGTATTGGAATAATCATAATCTATTATAAATATACAATATATATTTTACTCTTCTTAAATTAGGTTATATTGTGGCATATGTACTGACTCTATCAAGACTGTCTTGGTTTGTATGTGTAGAGTTTTGCCATAGTTACTTTATATTACAACACATTATATTTTATGGTGGCCTAAAATACCATTGCATAAATTGCTATGTGAAATGTCTTGCTCAAGAGATTCATATTTGAAGTGTCTAGTCTGCCTTTTTCATGGGAAGGTAGGTATATAGTAATTCTTTTGGTCTGCAGAGATCTATTGAGGAAAGTACGAAAACCATTGATTTCTATGCCATTGTCAGAAGTCATCAGTACATAAGGAAAATATCATTGGTACTGTGACTTGTTCTGTGGCTTGTGCTTCTGACCTGAGGCTCTCTTCTCCAGATTGTTGTGAAATCTTTTAGATTTGAAGTCCTAGCTCAGCCAGTATCCATCATCATGTTCACTATCATACCCACAACCACTAATTCCCCAATATTAATATTTATCAGTGGATTGGGAATACAGATATGTTCCCATTGACGCCGTGGCAGATTTAGAAGTTGCTTGGGCCTTTTCATAATCTGGCTTTCTATGTCTTCTTTAGATACCACAATTTTTAGTTCTCTTTGTTGACTTACCGACAGTTTCTTTATGTGACTGGATTATCTCTGCTTCTGAAGGTTCTCTTAGATTTTTAAGTTCCTGTCATTTCTGTGTTCATTTTCATTCAGTGATAATAAAGTTTCAAGATGTTGTCAACACGAAACTTCAAGAATTTTCCTCCATTACGGAAAAAAGATGCATAAAATATATTCACTCTTCCCAAATAAAGGTTCTTAGAAATAGTTGGTCTCATTGCAACATTCTGGTTCTGTCCAGAACCTTCATTTTAAAGCAAGAACTCAATTTTACTTCATATATATGTATATATATATATATATATGCACATATATATACATATTTATGTCTTTATAGATTTCAGAGAGAAGAAATGAGAAGGGGAGAGAGAGAGAAACATCAATGATGAGAGTCATTGATCGGCTGCCTCCTGCACGCCCCCCCGCTGGGGATCGAGTCCACAACCCAGGCATGTGCTCTGATGGGGAATCGAACTTCGATCTCCTGAGTCTTAGGTCGATGCTCAACCACTGAACCACACCAGCCGGACTGACTTGTATTCTTGATGATGAGACTGTGTCATCAGTGGAAGAAGAGAGAAGCTCTTTGTGTATTTCCCCATGTTGAACTCCCCTTGCCTTTCAACTTCCCACTAGAATGGAAGCTTTATTAAAGTAGGGGTTTTGCTCAGGCACCTTGCCCCATGGTCCATAGCCTGCGTTACGCATTTGCTGAACGGGAGAATGGAGGGTTATGAACGGGGGAGTAAACGACCCGCGCTGTTGTTGTTTTCACTCCTTTTCCTCTCTCGTATTTCACTGCTGTCCTTCTGGAAGATTAGCTCCTGATGAGCAGAGGCTGGACCTTAGGTTTTTCGAGAAGGATGCCGCTGTTTCGGTTATTATTCTAATATGCCACGTGTTTGCTCTTTTCCAGCTTAGGGTTGATTTCCGACTCCTTTCACATGTTTTTCGATAGCACTGCCATATTGGCTGGGTTGGCAGCATCTGTCATTTCGAAATGGAGAGATAATGATGCTTTCTCTTATGGGTAAGACTTTAAAATTCTTTGGTTCTGCTTCTGTGTAAAATACTCTACTCTTGCTGAGTTTGGACAGTTAATCAGATATTTGGGGGGTGTTTTCACGCTGGAGAAACACCTGGTCTCACTGCTGAGCCCCGCGCCCTGCGAGGCGGAGCTGGCTTTTGCATGTGCTGGGGAAGCGGCGGATCCCTGGACACGGTTGGCTCCGCTGGGGTATTTTTTAGCTCATAGGATCTTCTGCAGTGTAATTACAACTGCACGCCACAGCGGTGAGAAGCAGCCCCCTCTTCCTCTCTGCCCTCCGCCTGCTTCCTCCCTGACACCTTCCTGTCTTCCCCCTGGTCTGCGCTCCCACCTGCCCCACGCCCCCCTTTCACTGCCTGCCCTGTTCTCGTCTCCCCTCTCGTTGGCCTCCTCCTACTCACCCCCTCTCCGGTCTGCCCTGCTCTCCTCTGTGTGCTTTCTTTCTAGTGACTTGGGCCTGTGTTCGCTCCCTCCTTGTGCCCCCACCTTTTCATACTCTTCTCCACCACTGCTTCCCTCTCCCCTTGGCTGTATCTCCCACCTCCTTCTTGTGCTCCCCTCCCTCTCCCTTAGCCTCCGCTCCAGTCCCTCTTGTTCTGGCTTTTGCAGTCTGACCTTCCTTCTTGCACCGATTCCCTTCCCTGGTGGGCGCAGCGCCTCCACCCTCTCCCTCCCTGTCCCCGTCCACCTCCTCCAGCCCCAGCCCTTCCCCTGCTCCCTCACTGCCTCCTTTTGCTCTGGAGCAAGCTCACTGTCTCTTGCACGCGCTCTGTTCTCTGCAGATGTTCGAGGCCTGCTGCTTTGCTCCTGCAGTGATAGGAAAATGAAGATGTGGCACCTGCCTTGGGGAGCTTGGGGTCTGACGGGGAAGCAGTTCTGTAAAAATAATAACTGCACATCGTGACAAGTGCTATAAGAAAGAGATGAAGTCTAGACAACTTGCTGATTCAGAGTATAACCAAAGTAATAGGATTCCTTGTAAAATTATGAAAAACAAGTCAAGAAACACTGATTATTCTATTGTTAGAGTACGGAGCGAGAGATCCTGTACATCTATAACCCCAGAGAGGTTGGATGCTCAGAAAAGAACAGCTTCCATGGCACCATAAAATCAAAATTCTTAAGGATGCTTTGGCTCATTAAAGAAAGCTAGAAAAAGCAGTATTTTTGATGCCCTTATTATAGGACCAGAGTGATTAACTGCTGTGAGCTCCCTTCGAATAATATTTGAACAAGTAAAGCTGCCAAGCTCAAGTTGTTTCTGAGTTTAAGCCAGTGATGCCTCATGCAAAAAATAAAATCTTTCCCTAATGCTTCCCACAGGTAGGAAGCAGAAAGCTTCAGAAGTCCATGAGGAAAAAGGCAGTCACTTTAACAAATAGTTCAGTTAGAATTATGTGAAGCTAGACTTGATTCTAAAAGTAGGTAAGCTTTTTTGTTACATTTATTAATCTTAGAAAAAGAGTAATAGAAATACAAATTTCAGGCTGTTTCAGGGACACTTCAGAAATAATTTTATTTCCCTTCAGATCAAAGCTCCACTTTCCAAAGATCTGGAAACTGAAAAGTACAAAGCAGGAAGCATAGGGCATCCTTAGGAGAGGAATTAATAAGCTACAAAACCCCCTTTTCAAGCTTGCTCTTCGCTTTTCCCCTCCGACCCTTCTTTGCCCATTTGCCTGGCTCTGCTCTTCCCTCTCCAGGGGCAACTTAAGATTCATATTTCTGGGAAGGGTCTTTCTACACCTACTGACTCCAAGAAGGTCCTTTGATTGATGTGTGGAAATTTCTGTATTTTATGGCATTCTGCTATTAAACATAACTCACAATAATGAAGTTCATTTTCTTATTTTTATATATGTACAATAAAACAATATTCTATAACTACTGGGACTTTGCTGGCCATTTGTAACCATATAATGTGATTTAGGATCACTGAACTTGTGTAAATTTACACTTTGATCTGTAAGAGGTAACCTAATAATTCGGCTGTTTACTTTGCTCTTTAGGTACGTCAGAGCAGAAGTGCTGGCCGGTTTTGTCAATGGGCTGTTTCTGATCTTCACTGCCTTTTTTATTTTCTCAGAAGGAGTTGAGGTATAGTAGATAGTAACTCGAGTCAGTAAATTATATCTCTAATGAAAATGTTTGTTTACTAAACATACATATAATAATTATTAAGCACTGAGGACAGCCTTGGGTTAGAGAAAATGTTATGTGTGTACAGGAGGAACTTACAAAATAGTTGAGAAAAATTAGGTGTGTAACTACTTGAAATTGAAAACAAATAATGGTGCTTTACAAGGTGTGAATGAAGTGTTGACACTGGAAAGCAGAGACGCAGTACAGGCAGTGGGGCCTGTTGGGATAGTTCTTAAAATAGAACCTGAGAGTTTTGCCAGTTAGTCCGTCATATGTAGTATATTAAAACAAAGAGAACACGTAAAGATTAATGAACTTAAAATGAATGGTAATATTTCAAAATACCACAAAAGGATGGATTTTAGACCAAATAGTTATGCTTACTTTAAATATTTATATTTATTTAAAAACAGTGACTACTACCTTTTCTACAAAGGTGAATACTGGTTTTATTTCTATCTAATGTTTTGGCAGATACTTTTGGAGTGATTTTAATTCTGAAAATAACTAGAAATTTTGAAAAATGGCTTTTTGTTTTCACCAGTTTATCTATCAGATGTCATGTGAGTGCCATTTGTATTACATGTTTTTTAGAGAGCGTTGGCGCCTCCAGATGTGCACCATGAGAGGCTGCTGCTTGTGTCAGTCCTGGGGTTTGTGGTAAACCTAGTAGGAATCTTTGTTTTCAAGCACGGCGGCCACGGACATTCTCACGGCTCTGGTATGACGGTTAGAACCCTTCGTTTCTTCATTTTCTGGTGCCTGTCATAGTTACTCACTTTAGAAAATGGATACTTTTAAAAGTTAAACTATTGATTTTTAATAACAAAAGCAATGTTAATAGACTCTTACTAATGTCTTCCGGAACCGTCCCTTCCCCTTCTTCGTGCCCCTCCCCCAGCACCTTCTCTGTACAGGTTACCATTTTGGTGTGGATCCTTTCAGACCTCTAGCTCATGTTGACTATGACCCCATTTATATAAAACAAACAAATAAATGTCAGAACCACAGAACGAATCTAGCTACTAAAAAACTATAGTGTATGTGGGTCTGAAATTTACTACACAATCTGTCCTTGAGGTCCTTCCATTTGGCATATATATCAGTCTCCTTTCTCATGAACAGCCATACAGAACTCCATAGTGTGGGATCCCTGGTTTATTTAACCAGCCTTCTATGAATGGACTTCAATTCCCTCCAGTTTATCACAATTCCATATCCTTGTGAACACGAGAGTATTTTTCCAAAGCTGTGCTTTCCTGTATGGTAGCCATTAGTCACGTGGGGCTATTTAAACTGAGTTTTTAATTTTATCACAATTAACTGTGATAAAATTAAAAACTCAGTTCTTCAGTTACATCAGTGACATTTCAAGTGCTCATTAGCCACGTAGGGCTACTGTACTGGACAGCAAAAGAACATTGCTGTCATCAGTTCTCTGAATTGCTGGAACACAGGCTAGGTAGTTTTTTGTTTTAATAGACATTAGCAAATTGCCTTCCAAAATGACTGTTACATTTACCCCAGTAACAATTATAGGTACTCTTTTCTCTCACTCACATCAAAACTTAATACTGTGGTTTTAAAACCAGCTTGCTAATATTTTGTTAAAAATGGTATCATTTTACTTGGTGTTTCTCTGACTATTTTAGAATTGTCTGTTCTTTTATTTTTTTGGCCTGTTTTTCCATTGTCTTATTTTCAATCTACTTACAAGCATTTTTAAGTATGTATTTTATATGCCAATCCTTTGTTTTAGGTGTTGCAAATATCTTTTCCCAATCTTTGGCTCGTCTTTAAACTTTTGTGTATGGATTTTTAGTTTGGACGTAGCCTAGTTTTTCTGTCTTACCCTGTTCTCTTATAATTTAATACTGTGACAGTTTTGGTTTGATGGTTTTTTCCCACTAAATTGTCTTGCCACCCTTGCCAGCAATCAGTTGACCATCAGTGTGAGAGTTCATTGTGGACTCTCAGTCCTGTTTCACTGGTCTATGTGTCTCTCCTCAAACCAGCAGCATTCTGTCTCGATTACTGTAACCCTGAAGTAGGTTTGAAATCGCAATATGTGAATTTTCCTACTTTATTCTTTCTTTTAAAGGTCATTTTGGCTATTCTGGGTCCCTTCTAGCATTTCCACATAAATTTTAGGATCAGCTTGTCCATCTCTGCTTTTATTTCCTTCCTATACTATGTAGTAGGAAGTCAGTATTACTTTAATGACTCTATAACACTTTTTACAGGTAAATGTTTATGGAATTGAATCTGGTTTTAGAGCTAATTCTTTTCGCTGCCGTCAGTATTATTGTAACCATTAACTAATATATTTTTACATGCCTTTTGTTCTGACACTGTTTTTAGGCCATGGACACAGCCATTCCCTCTTTAACGGTGCTCTGGACCAGGCCCACGGCCACGGAGACCATTGCCATAGTCACGAACTGAAACATGGCTCCACGCACAGCCACGACCACACTCACGGACATGGACACTTCCACTCCCACGGTGAGTACAGCCTGATGCCTCCCACACACACAACTGTGCAGGCATCTTTTCCTGGTTGAAAGAGTCTGTTGGAAGTATTGCAGCTGACCTCCTTTCTAATGGATTGGACTGCATGGTTTCCCACGCCAGCTCTTTTTTAGCATGTAATGAAATTAAATCGGAAATCATGTAGCTTAACCATTTGTTAGCCAGTCCTTCCAGTCATGCTTTCCTGACATTACCAACCAACATTTGCAATTGACCCCTTGTCTGTTGCCCGAGAATTTTTCTCATTGCCTGGGCAAAGCACAGTAGTAAGATTCCAGGTGGGGGGAAGGTAGCCCTTTTTTGGTCAAGAGGGAGAATGGTAAGTGGGAAAGAAAAATTAGCGTGACATCGGGTCACAAAGAGATCACAGCAGCTAATAGATAGAAATGCTAGGCTTCCAAGACAAGGGATCTGACTCCAAAATCATACCTACACCAGAGTTTATATATCATGTAAAACACTGTTATAAAATTTTACCACCAGAGAAACTCTGTCTTGTCTGTAAACTATGGTAGTTTTCTTTTGGGATGGAAACCAGGCTTTGGCTCTGAATTTCCATCTAGATGTCATTGTTAAAGTTTTCTGCCTTCAGTATTGTATTAGCCAGTCTGAGGATCCAGTAGTGATATGGCCGTGATTCCATTTTGCCCTTAGGAGACATCATGGTCTCGCTGGGAAGTACTGTGAGGTTCATATTTACTGGGATGCTGCACTGAGTCAAGCCAGCTACTTGTTGTTTTAACTGCTCATGTCTCAGTGATAGAAACAGTCAAGGTGTAGGTCTTGTGTTGGGTTGACAGGGTGGGGGCTCTGTTGCTCATGGCAATTGAAGGAGCCAGACTCTTTCCATCAGTAGGATTCTTAAATCTGGGAATGGGGTAGCAGATCATGTGGGACATGCTTACGAGCCTTGAAGTGCTTTCCACCTATTTCTGTGTTCACTATTGAACGACATACAGCTCCTAACTCAAGGCAGCCGGGAAGTGTGGTTTAGTTGCTGGCCAATGAGGAAGGACATAGGGGCTTGGTAAGCAGCCTGCCATGCTCTGCACTGGGTAACCCAGAAGGATACAGCTCCAACCATAGTTTTGTTTTTTGCGCAGTTCCAATTGTAATATTAGCGTAGCATGCTGTATGAGGTATGTTATGAATATTAGATTTTCACTTTTTTTAACACTGCGTTGTTGTTTTTCACCAGATTGCTTACTATAGTAATTTCCTAAATACTCTGTACTGTGGATGCATTTTGAAATTTCTCATGTCTGTCTTCATTAAATTCTTATATTAAATTTTAACACTAATTTTGTAGGTCTGATGTGGCTGTGTAGTCGTGCATCCTTCATGATACATTTGAATGAAAAACACTCTGAATTGCAAAAATTGAATCAGGAATTGAAGACATGTTTTAAAATAATGTAACTTAACTCTCTACAGATGGTCCCTCCTTAAAAGAAACGACAGGACCCAGCAGACAGATTTTACAAGGTATGACAAGACACTTGTCTGTTTCTCAGTTCATGAAACTGGTTTCATAGTTTTCCTGTAAGAAAAATACATAACATAATATTTGTGTTTAAATGTTAACCTTCCTAGTGATATTTCTTACATGTGCTATTAGGTATGTTAGCAGACATTCTTTTAATTTAATTGTCACTCGGCTGTTTTCTCAGCTATAATAAGAATCATGCACTATTCAGAAACTATACTGCTTAAATATTAATACTACCCCTTCTGATAACCATAGTGACACCATAGTAGCATGTTTACCTTTGTAGGATCATTAAATAATGTTTCCAAGACTAATACTCCATATGTATTTACATTGTGGAAAAAGTTAGTGCTACAGATGTAATGCATCAAACCCAAAGGTGTTCAATGCCCAGAGTGAACCCTAATGTAAACTGTGGCCTTTGGGTGACAGTCGTGTGTCGATGTTGTTTCGTCACCTGTAACAGATGTACACGCTGGTGGGGCATGGTGACAGTGGGGAGGCTGTGCATGTGTAGGGGCAGCCAGAGGGCCTATGGGAAATCTCTCTTTCTGTTTAATTTTGCTGTGAACCTAAAACTGCTCTGAAAAATAAAGTCTTATTATATTTTTTTAAATGTAATGCTAAGTGAGACCTTGGCTCTATCCACAGGCATCAAAGATGATGCCTACATAGGAGTTTATGTATTATGTAAAACACTGTATTATAAAATTTTAAAAGTCAGAAAAACTCAGTCTTGTCTATGAACTATGGTAGTTTCCTTTTGGGATGGAAAACAGTATTTGGCTCTGAATTTCCATCTAGACGTCATTGTTAAAGTTTTCTAACTCCCAGCTGCCTTTAGTATAACTTTTGACTTCAACCTACCTTCTCAATAGCTCGTGATCCAGCCTCCACCACACCTGTTTATCTCCTCTGCTTCTTGATACAGCTCTGGCTTTTGACATTGTCACTGTCAGTAGGCTCCTCCGTACTGAGGAGGTTATTTATAAATATAAATGTGCTTTCTAGTCTCTGGTTTCCCTTTCGCAAAATATACAGAATTGTCTTAGAATAGCATTTGCTGCAATAGCTTGTAATCATGCATAAGTAATGTGTCTATAGCCAATGCTATAATGAACCTTGATGGTAAGGGTTCATTTTTAGTTTGGAAATGGTCACAATTTGAGGGGAGGTTAGATTTGCCTTCCTATTATCTTTTATATAAGCTGTTGTGAAAATTCATTTATGTTTTCTGAGTGTCCATCAGTGTATGGTGGCTGATGCAGCCCAGTAGGTGGCTGAAGGACAGGGGCAACTGCAGATATTCACACGAAAAACTGAGTGAACTGAATTTGTCAGTTATTTGCTGTATTTTGTGTTGCTAATGAAACCAGTGTTCCAGTTAGCAAATGAGAAGTATCCAGGGACCTTCCAAGCAAAGGAAAATAAAAAACAAATGATTCTTTCCTTTTTCCTTCTGATGTTTAGAGCTGTTTTCATTTCCAATCTTACCAGAACACCAGTTAAAAAATATAAAAATTTGAAAATCACACATATCTCTTAAGAGTTTTGAAGCTTAGGGACCCTCAATCCACTTTGCTGTGTATCTTTCTCCAGTTTAATTTTAAAACTTAAGGTGATCCCAACACTTATTCTTTGCTGTTGAAATACCCTAGAGAAATGAGATATATTTTCTTATAAGTGTGATTCTAACATATCTTTATGATAGAAAAAAGAGCCATTGTTGTTTTTACACATTAGACATTTCTTTTCAGAGAGAGTAGATGCTATGAAGAATGTTCTGTTTTTAGCCACATCTGGTTGAAGTTGGTTTAAGAGATGGTGTTTTGCTCTACAGTAAATTTTACCTATTAAAGATCTAAATGTTGAATAATTTGTCTAGTTAAATACTTTTTAAAACTTATGTATATTAAACCTACTTTTTGGCATTTTAAACTGTTTTTTCCATCAAGTATCAGTTCTTAAATGTAATATTTAGGTTCTTGGGCAGTTAGAATAGTATCCTACCAATTTAATATTTAATTATTAGAAGTTCTGACGTATTTACACCCACTTTAAGTATTCAAATTCCTACTTTTATATCAAGTTCGGGCTTAGTATGTAATTTTAAGTAACAAAGTCTTCAGAATAATAGGTTTGCCAGCATTAATAGTTATGGTCCATAGGCAGTTTGTCTCAAATGGTAATTTTCATGACCAGCAGGGGGCTCTCTGTGTCCATGGTTCAGACGTCTGTAGTTACAGCAATGTTCTCTTGGCAAATTCTTTCTGCCTAATGACACTTTCCTCTAACAAGTTAACTTCTGGACTCTGTCACCAGAGACAAATGTGCACAAACAATATGTAGAATCCCCGTGTTGCTCTGCTTCCTCATTTATGTTATTCGGCATCAGATATACTGACCCCTGCTGATTCGAAACAGGAAAGAGGATCTCAGTTCTCAGGGTACTATCACTCTGTTACTAACAGTTAATCTACATTCTTATCAATTTCAAATTGGTGTGTAATATTTAATGTAGGAGATCAAGAGCAGTTTTATGAAATGCTTGCATTTTCAATTTGCTTAGAAGATATTGTTCTGATTCTGATGATCTTTTTCCAGGTGTATTTTTGCACATCCTAGCAGATACACTCGGGAGCATCGGGGTGATCGCGTCTGCCATCCTGATGCAGAATTTCGGTCTGATGATCGCAGACCCTATCTGCTCAATCCTCATAGCCATGCTCATCGTCGTAAGGTGAGTATAGGTATGTTGCTTTTGATCATTAAAATGTGAGGTGACAAATATATTATTTAAATTACAGATCTAAATTATTACATTGGTTTTCCTTTGGTATTTAACAGATTCCTACATAGATGATTTATCTTTTCATCTGCCTAAAGTCTGATGCTTCCTTTTGATATTTAGCAGTAATCTTATTGGTTTGTCACTCAAATTAGTAGTAATTTTCTTGAATCCAGCGCTGTATCTGTAGAGCATCAGAAGTAGAAATGTATTCACCACAGTTAGAATCTTCTTTCTTTGACATCTGCATCTTGTGCTGCCAAATGCAAAAGGATGTTAAAATCTCTTCCAGAACTGTTTTTAATCTATCAAGTCACCTTATCATTGCAAAAGTCTTACCGAAGTATATTTATGTATGTCTCCCTGGAGTATCAATTCTCAAGGAAGGATCTGTCTCTTAGCTTTTTAGTTCTCTGTTGCTTGCTGTAGTGCCAACATGTGCGTAAGAGTGTGTGTGTGCGTGCGCGCATAAAATCTCAGTACGTGTTTGCTGAATTAGATTGCATAGTTTTTATCTCTTAAATTTATATCGGTTTATTTTATTGTTTTAATTTTTATCAGAATAATGGAATAACATGTGCCTTTATTTCAGTCTTATATTATTTATAAAGCTATGTCTTGGCAAAGTGAAGAAGGTGATCCCTTGTTCCACCAGCCAAGAGAACTATGTTGGTAATTTTATGGGTATTAGTTCATCTTTTTTCTTTTATTCTAAGCCTCTTTTTTATGGTATTTTTGTTTGTATTATGTATAAAATTATATTCTAAGAAAACTTTTTTAGTTTTTTCTGATTATAAACTTACAGTCAGTATAGAAAACTTGGCAAATGATGAGAAATATAAAGAAGTAAAGAAAATCAGTCAGGACGACAACACCTGGAGGTGACATTCCCACTGTTACCAGTACTTTTTTACTGTTGTTTTTAGGCTTTTTTTTTTACATTATTAAATTCCTGCTCTCTCTGCTGATTGTTGAGCTTGCTCAGAATTAAAGTAGACACAGGTTCTAGACGAAAGATAGTACAGGTATTATTTTAAGTCCATAAAGTTTAGAGATGATTTGTTAGCTAGCAAGGTCTTAATTCAAGGACAACACATAAGGACGATTTATTATTATAAAGTATATATTTCTCTGTATGTGGGTGAGGGGGAAATACGTAGTGTGCATATATATGTACATGTAGCATAGAACACATACACACACAGATATATGTATATATTCATCCCTGAATGTTATATGGGTCTCTCCGGGTGGTGTAATTATAAAATTATGATCTTCCTTAACGTCGTCAAGGCAAACTAATATTTCTGACTTGGCCTTAAAAAAAATCCATAATTTTTTAAAATGGAGGGCAATAAAAAAACCCTTTAGCTTCAAAGTGCAAAACAAAGACATTACAGTTATCTATTTTTCTGTTAAGAAAGCAAACTTAATTTACTTGAATGCTCACATGATAATGAAATATTTGCAAGATCACTCAGATGCTTTTCAAATCGGCCTGAAGAGTTTGCCTGATTAGCTGAAGCCCATTTTAGGAGATAGATGAGAACTCTTACAGACTCAACAAAATAGAGTATAAAGGATTCGTTTTCTCTTGCCCTTAATTTTTATATATATTTGCAATTCATCAAGAGCAAGAGGAATAATGGGCTCTTTGTACATTTCTTGCATTTTAATGTGGCTCCGTTGAAAACGTGCCAGGGAAATGGATGTCTCCCATCCAGGCTGCTTGCCCAGTGTCCCATTTTCACTTTCCCAGGGAAGCGATTGCTTAGAAAAAGACCATTTTTCTCTCAACATTTTCTAGTGCGGGCAAATGGTGATATAAATTTCTGGGTAAAACTGGGTGGTGCTGTGATGAATTATGTTTCCCAGTGAAAAGCAGCAGATTGAGTATGACAAGGAGAGAGTCATTTTTATCTCCTGATAATGTACACGTCTCACTGGAGGGCTCAGGATGGCTTTTCCCCATCAGAAGCTGAATTAGAACGGAGAGTAGTTCGTGACTTAGAGAGCAGATTTCTGGGCACTTAGCTGCAGCTTTGAATTTCACTGTGATTTCAGAGTGATGCCCTTCACCCAGATCTGCAGCTTGATGTCTGAGTTACTTAAAATAAAAGGGGTGTCTGCATATGATGGGAAGAAATACACAAACAGGATGCAGAAATGAGCACTGGCACCGGTGTGGTATTTTTGAAGCCTGGCTGATTTTTTTTTTAAATTAGTTTACTGGAACTTACCAAGTAACCCTCTTATGGCACTTTGTACATTTTTACCATGGTCATTTGTTAATACAAAGAAAAGGAAATTTTCTCTTTGTCAGATGCAAAACATTTTGAATAATCTGTTTCTTGTCACACTGAAGAAACAAATAGCTCGACCTTTAGAGAGAACTCGGGCAGCAGACTTTAGAAATGACCGATGGTGCTCACAAGGAGAGGTACGAAGTGGCACGTGTGCTAGAGGAACAAAGTTATAGGTTTGAATTCTAAATCATTGTAGGTTATCACCATTGCCCATGAAGACAAGATTTGGACCAGATACTGATTTTGGTAAACCTTGTTGATTCTGTGGTCAAATAGATAATTATTTGTAGCCTGTATTAAGTAAACATAAGCATTTTTTTAAACCATATCATATGTGAGAAATTATAAAGATAACTTTCAGAAATGGTTTTGGGTGGTGTCTCAAAACTGCCTTTGTGGTTTACCTTTCAAAGTGGTTATAATTTATGAACTATACTGTTGAGGACTAAGATAAAAGAAGGTAGTTTCCCAGCATTGTAACTTGGTGCTTGTATATGTATCCACATGGGAACATTTTTGCCTAGTAATTCTAGTTTTTAATCATGTTTAGAACCACGAGGGAGTATTTATAAATACCGATTAGTCTAACACCTTTTCTCAAACAGCCTTCTGCAAGAGAATGCCCTAATGCCTTAGAGCATCTGTTTGTATGTGATTATTAACTTTTCACCTTCATGTCTAGAAAGTACTGGTCATGTATTGTCCTTGAGGGGATTGAGAAGTGTCACTTAAGTCATTCTGTGTGTTCGGTGGTTCAGATGAAGCACCCCCCCCCAGGGAAGAAAGGCTGGTGAGTGGTCCTGGAAACATTAGGAAGCGCAGAGCCAGTGCAATAGTGTGTTAATGATTGTTAGCCAGTGACATTAGAGAAGAGAATTATCTGAGGCTTAACAATTGGAAAAGAGAGTGTGGTGATTGCGGGGGGAGGAACTGGGTGGAGGTGGAGGAGGGCATGGGGGGGGAGATAAATGGTGATGGAAAAAAAATCAATAGCTATTAAAAAAATTGGAAAGGAGAAATTATTTTATATAAAATATATGATTAGATTTCTGTAAAACCCATGGGAAAACAATGACAGATAATTTAGTAAAGTTACAGGTATAAAATTGATGTTCCCAATTAATACCCTTTATAAATAAGCAAAATTCAGTGGAATGACATAATTAAAGAGAAGGTACCTTTTCAGTAGCAGCAACAAAGACTATCTAGAGATAGAACACGTAAAACTCGTGTGAGTTGAATTTTAAACACTGTAGGTAAAAGAACTCCCGTCCATTGCTAATAGGAAGGAGAATGGCACTGTCTCTATGGGGAGAGCTTGGACAGTACCTACTATAAATGCATTTACCTTTGATTAGACAGTTCATCTTCTAGGAATGTCTCCTAAAGAGAAATTGGCAAAAGTATAAAAGGATGTATAAGTAAGGCTATTCTTTGTAGTTTTATTCATTTTGGCTAAAGATTGGAAAGACTGGAGGTGTTTGTTAATAAAGGAGTTATGTACAGTCCTAAAAAAAAAAAATAAAGGGGAGTGACGTCAGCAAGATGGCAGAATAGAAAGTCCTAGATTAAACACAGCGAACTGACAACATGACTCTGAGAAATCCAGAAACCAGGTGAAAGGTTTTAACACGCAGGCTAGTGGGAAGCCAACTGCATGACAGAAAATTCACAGTCTGTCATTATTGCCACTCCCACCCCAACTCCTGTCTTCTTCCTGGGGAGGGGAAAGGAGTTGAGCCTGCCTCCAACTGACTTTTAGGGGGGCTTCCCAAGAGACTGGTATCTGTCTTGCTTGTATCAGTTACTGGAAGCCCTCTCTTAACATTGTTGATAGGTTCTTGGAAACTGACTTTAAGCAAAAACCATGTATAATGAAACCAATTTTTTACCATAGGCTAATTGATATAAACAAGAGTTAAGTTCCTACAGTATCTCATCAATGTTACAACAGAATGACATTGAATGGAAAGACATTATGTTCGAGGACGTGTTGTGCTGACAAGGACAGGATGCCAGTTTGGGCATCACTGAGAACAGACATCACCTGTACATTAGAGTTTTCAGTACCACAGACAGACACTAGGTGGAACCCGGGGACTGTGATTTCTTACAGCTGCAGAAGGCCCAGTATTGCAGACACAGGAAGAGCTCCCGAGAAGAAGCCAGCAAACCTTTCCAATAGGAGGTGACATGCACTAGCCTGGAGAGGACACATGCCCAGATGAGACTCCAGAGGTCTTCAGAATCTCCAGCCAGGCTATGTAGAGAAAGACCTCTCTTATGAAACTAGACCACAGAGTCTGGAGTGGTCGCTTATTCTTCAGGTACTGAAACCCACACAACAAAAAATAAGAGATACAAAGAAACAGCCAACTACAACACATTTAGAGGAAACAGTTTGATTTCCGGAAACCAAACCTACAAAAAGGAGACCTGAATTGCCAGATACAGAATTCAAAATTACCATCCTAAGGATGCCCAATTAATTAAAAGAAAGCACAGACACTAAACAAAATCTGAAAAACGATACATGAGCAAAATGAGAATACCAACAAAGAGGGAGAAACTATTGAGAAGAGCCAAACAGACATTCTGGAACTAAATAATAATAACCAGGTTGAAAACTTCCCTGGAGGGATGCAACAGCAGATTTGACCAGGCAGAAGAAGGAATCTGTGAACTCAGACAAGGATTTACAGGATCACTGAGTCAGAGGAGGGGGAAAGGAAAAAATGAAGAGAGAGCCTGAGCTGTTTATGAACAAGCGGAACAACATGCATATGGGATTCCCAGAAGGTAAAGAAATGGAGAAAGGAGCAGAGAACCTATTTGAAAAACAATGGCAAACACTTTCTCAAATCTAAGAAGAAAAATGGACATACAAAGTCAAGAAATGTAAAGAACTTGAACTAGGGTAATAGAGGGATGTACATGGAGTCATGTAATTAAACTGCTGAAAGTCACATAGGAATGAGAATCTTGAAAGCAGCAAGAGAAAAGCAATGTGTCACATGCAATGATAACCACAAAGGAAATATGTATAGAATATATATAAAAGGAAATGAGAAGGGAGTCAAAACATGTCACTATAAAAAAATCAATAACACATAAAAGAAGACAGCAAGAGGGGAAGAAAGACAAAAAGCCTCAAGATAGAAAACACTGGGAAAATGGCAATAGTACTTCCTTACCAGTAATTAAATATAAATGGATAAACATACTAATTAGGAGACAGACTGGCTGAATGGATTAAAAAACCAAGGTCCAGCTTTATTCTCTCTGCAAGCAACTCACTCTATCTAAGGACTCGCGCAGCCTGAGAGTGAAAGGGTGTTCTGCACAAACGAGAACCTAAAGAGAGCAGCAGTGGTCGTACTTATATTAGACAAGACTGTCCCACAAGACAAAAGGGACATTATATAAGGATGAAAGTGTCAGCTTACCAGGAGGCACAACAATTATGAGCATATACACTCCTAACGTTGGAACACCTAAGTGTATGAAGGAGACACTAGCAGGAAGGAAGGGAGGAACAGAGCACAGGAAGAGTAGGCGATTTCGGTACCCACTTTCACTTATGGGCAGAGCACCAGGAAGCCAGTCAGTCAATCAAATAGAAGATCAATGAGGAAAGAAGACCAACAACACCAAGGCGAGTGGGCCCTAACAGACATACACAGACCACTCCACCCAATAACAGCAGAGTATACAGTCTTCCTAAGTGCACATGGAAGACGACATGTCAGGGCACAAAAGAACCTAAGACATTTTAGAAGATTGAAATTAGACATAATATTTTCTCTGGCCATGGTGGAATGAAACTAGAAATCAATAGCAGGAGGAAACAACAGAAATCCAAAAATATATGTAAATTAACACATTTTTTAACAACCACTGGGTCATGGAGAAATCCCAAGGGTATTTAGAAAGTATCTAGAGGCAAGTGAAAACAAAAATACAGCATACCAAAACGTATGGGATGCAGCGAAAGCAGTACCAAGAGGGAGGTTCATAGTAATAATTGCCTGCATGAGAAAAAGAAGGAGCATTTGAGATCTTGCTTCCCAGCATTTGTCACTTTTGGCTCAAATAAACTTACACAAATTCTCTTAAAAAAGGAAAGAATCTCAAATTAACAACCTCACCTTACACCTTGAGAAACTAGAGAAAGCAGAACAGTCAACTCGAAGTCATCCGAAGGAAGGAAACAAAGATCGGAGCAGATAAGTGAAATGCAGAATAGAGAAACAATAGAAAAAATTACCCCAGAGCCGTCATTCTTGGAAGATCAGAACATGGACAAACCCTCAGGTAGACCCATCCAGAAATTGGAACTCACGATCGCAGAAGCTGCCAGATAATAATTAACTTGACTTTGGTAGTGTTAATAAATATTTCTTGAGTGCCCATCTGGTTTTTCTAAACAAAGTCCTATTTCTTCACTTGTGTACTTTTTGGAATGCAGGTTTCCTTAAAGTATGAATAATATGAAGTTATTCCTGCCCAATCTTCTTCCAAAACTGTATATGTTGTGTGGAGAACTTTGCCCTCTTAACTTCATCAATCTCATGGTCTCTTCTCATTTTCCTGCCTCTCGACAGCATGTTAGTGTGAGTCCCACTCATTTTTCTTCTCTGTCTGCACCTTTGTTCTCCATGGATGCATAATAGATCATTTCCTTTTTTTTTTTTAACTTACATTGCTGGTGTGATTTTGTTTAGATACTAAGTTACACACTGAGGACCGGGAGTGCTGCGTGCTGCTGCCCAGGTATAACTCTCACCTGCACTTGCACAGAAGATAACACCCTTTCCCCCCATGAAGCTATTACTGTGCAGGGTTGAAAGTCATATCAAATAAGAACTGCTCTATATTTTAATAATCTTCCACTGGTGTTTGAAAGTTTAAAATAGAATATACACTCAGAAGACGTGTCTAGTGCTTATTATATTCCAGGCACTGTGCTGGGCACTAGGGATAAAAAGGATATGGTGTGATCTCTGACTGCAGAGGACTGAGTCCTGATGAGACAGCCGGTGCAGGGCAGGGAGCTCTGGCCTTGGAGTTATCCCCCGGCTCTGCCTCTTAACCACACACAGCAGTGAACACGTTGCCCTAATCTGAGATGGTTTCCTCTTCTGTGAAGTGAGGAGCTAGTCTAAAGGACCCTTTATGATCTTACTTACATCTGTGGTTCCAACATTTTCCTAAGGTTACTTAAGGCCGTTGTGAGAATCAAATTAGAAAAAATTTATGAAAGCACTTTAAAAATTATGAAGTGTTGTCTAAACAAAGACACTGCTAATTATTTACTAGCTTGGCATTATTTACTAATGTTTTCCGTTTAAAGACTAGATGCGTCAAGTGTTGTAACCAAGCTCCAGAAGTTTAAGGAAAAGGGTGACCTTTTTGTGACTTTGGCTCCAAGTTCTAGGGTTATTTTAGGGCATCTCCTTCCCATTACTGAGTCCAGTAGGGACTCTAGAGATGGCTGGTTTAAACCATGGGTCTGGAAACTCAGTGTAATTGTAAGATAAACCACAGAACTTGTGGTGTGGGGCTTATGTTAGGCTTAGGAAATTCTGGGTTAATAGGTAATTGTCCATTACCACGGTGTACTTGTATTTATGCAAATATGACGGCATACTTACAGCTCGCCACAGGGACACCACGTCTAAATGTGGAGCACATTACAATTTGGGGTCAGTTGTCTTTGGCTTTTTTGTCCACTAAACATTTTGGAGCATCTGACGTATACCAGTCCTCGCATGTATGCATTGTTTTAAAAAGTGCAGCTACTTTCTCTGCGTTTGTGTTATAAGAACTGCTGATAATGTGCAGCAGGACTGAGCTCAGAAGCCAGTTCAAGGTGAAGTAGTAATTTCAGTCGCTATTAATAGATATCTATTCTCAGATCTAAGCAGTTTCGGCTCTGAGATTTCCATTGTTGAGCGTTAGGATCACTGGGCTGATGTTCTTGAAACGTGTTCACTTGGACGCCCTCTGTGGTCACTGTTGAAATGGTCAACCTTTCACTGAAAGCTGCTTTTGAAGTCAGATTTGAGTATATTTTCATTCGCACAATCTCTGGCAATAGGGCGTAACAACTAACGTGCGTATTTGCTCTGCTGGGGTTCCAGCTCTCACATTAGACTTGCTTAGGATCCCGTGGTTGTAGATTTGACCGGCCTTCCGCTTTTGAAGGATAAACTCATTGCCCTGCTTTTCTGTGAAGTCGTAGAGTGAGCGCCACGTTCCTTTCTGTGCGCGCTAGGAAGGTGGCCATTGCTGTAGCTGGATCGAGTTCGTCGGCCAGAAGCGAACCTCTAATTGTCTCCAGATGCTTACTTTTGGGTTTGGATGCAGCTCTGAGTCTGAGCTCAGACCGGAATTTGCTATGCTTGCCTTTCCCCCCACATCTAACCTTTCATTATGGCTAGATGCATTCATGCTCAACTCTGCTTTATGATTCCTTTTCAATAATCAGAAAAATATGGACACAGACTCCTGAGCTAAACACAGTTTTAAAAGGCAAAACTAGAGTTTCTGCAGGTTTCTTTTACATTTTTATGGCCTTGGAAATTGTCATAGAAATTGAACCTGGTTCTAAATGGCATTCCCCGTGAGTTAGCAAGCACCCTCCTCTCCCCACCACAGCTCCATGACCCAGTTACAGCTCCTGCCGCTGAAATTCTTTCATGACTTTAACATTCTTACTGGAGAAAATGAGTGTGGTGCATCCGTGCACTTGGATGACACACTCCCTGCTGTCAAATGTAAACATTTCATTAGAATTCTATCCAAAAGGCAACCACTACAGATTTTCTAGTGTAGCAAAGTCAGTAACAACCTCAGTGGACTCACACACTATTACTTCCTGATGTGGATTACGACATCGTAGTATAAAATGAATGTTCGCTTCTAGCACTATATTGAAATGCTCCTCTGCACTGTGGTTCTGAACTGAGTGTAAGCGTGAGTGTCTCCAAGTTCCCCGTTAGCTCGGGGAGTGTGTTACCTGTGTCACGGGCCTTCTCCTCTGTACCAGTTCTGGATCCTCAGACCAAGGCCGCCCAGGAAAGTGAGTTTCAGGGGAAAAGGGAAGGGCTAGTAGCAGCACATCTGTAATATACACAGGAGTCTGAACATTTACCTGGCTCTTTTATTTTAGACAATAACTTACTGATCACATGAAAAGTCTGGAGCAGTGGCTAGAGTCCTTGTCCTCATGAGCCTTGCTGCATTCTGCTCAGGGAGGCGTAGTCTTTCTCTCTTGCAGGACAGGGTTAGCAGACGTGGCCTGGCTTTACTCAGCTTGCCGTCTCCCTTCTCTTCAGTGTCATTCCTCTCTTACGAGAGTCCGTGGGCATCCTGATGCAGAGGACGCCGCCCGTGCTGGAGGGTGCCCTGCCGCAGTGCTACCAGAGGGTGAGTCTCGGGGCTCTGGCCGTGGGCTCTTGCTGCTGCCAGACCGTTAGGCCTTTAACTGTGGAAACACGGGCAGTGTCTGTGGAATTCAGTCCTTCCAAGCCGGGGCGCTGACCACGAGTGCCACTTATACAAACCAGAGTACAATCATCGGAAAATGTGGGCGAGGTCATCCTTGTCGAGAAAATCGAGCAGTCCTTTTGGAAGACAGATGCAAACAGCAGATGATAGAAGCTTTTGTTCACTATATATTTTTTGAGCTCCTGCTTTTTGCCAGTCGTCAGAGGCCTGAGAGAGGAAGGGAGAGTCTGCCTTGACCTCTTTCCCAGGAAGGGCAGACTCCAGAGAGATCTTCCTGTTCGTTTGGTCTAGACTCTGCCTGGTGGCAGGAACCTGCTCTGTGACCTTCAGCTGGTCACCAGCTCTGTGGCCATTTCTGGGAACTGCAGTTCATCCCCTTCACAGAGTGACCTCTTCCCTTTAAACTGCTGTGATTGTTACAAAGATCTGTTTACACCGAGTCTCCTTTAACTCGGCATTGGTCTGAGTCTGTCCCCTGCCCCTCCAGGTCTGCCCAGAGATTCTGAACAATATAGTGATTTGGGCCTTTTTGTCTTTTTCCTGATCTTCAAAGAAACCCATCCAGGGTTTCCTCTTTAAATGTTTCTGTACATTTTGGTAGATAGTTTTTATCAAGGATGCGTCCCTCTAACCATTTTCCCTAATCATAAATAGGTGTTGAGTTTTATTGCGTAATTATGATACTTTTATCGAAATAACAGATTTTTCTCCTTTGCTTCATTATTGAAGGTAACAGTAATGGAGTTTCTGGTTCTTCTTTGGATAAACACAGCTTAGTCAGGATGCTATTTTTTAATATACTGTTGGGTTTTGCTTATTTACTTTATAAGAGAAATCAGTTTATGATCTGTCTTTATCTGGCTGAGGGTCAAGATTATTTCATACTAACAGGAGGGCTGTGCATTGATGGGGCCATTTCTTCCTAACAAAATCTTTCCTATTTTCTGAAAAAACTGAGGCAGAGGCCATATGATCCTTGAAAGTTTGCCCCCTGGGACGGGTTTATGAAGAGAATTTTTATTTCCTTTTCAATTTTCAGTGCTCCTTACACACTTGTTGTTGTTGTGTTATGGCATTTTCAGTATACCCAGAAATTCACCCACTTTGTCAAGGTTTTCAAAATTCTGGAGTGTTTTTCCCCCCCTATTTATTGTATTTTCTAGCTTTGGTAAGGTAAAAATGATAAATGAAAATGGCACATATTTAAGGTGTACAGTGTGATGTTTTTTGTTTGTTTTTTTAATCCTCACGTGAGGACATGTTTTTATTGATTTTAGAGTGAGGAAGGGAGAGAGAAACATCAGTGTGTTTACTGATATGTTGCGTAATACCTAAAGTGGGTGGGAGGGGTCCTCTCGCCTGAGTTGATGTTAACACGTGCCCTTTCTGCTTCAGGTGCAGCACCTACAAGGAGTCTACAATTTACAAGAACAGCACTTCTGGACCTTATGTTCTGACGTGTATGTTGGGACCTTGAAGTTAGTAGTAGCCCCTGATGCTGACGCCAGGTGGATTTTAAGCCAAACACATAATATTTTTACTCAGGTATGACTTTTTCACTAACTTCTTTTAAGGATGTTAGAATTGATTATATCTACTGGTTTAAAAATATTTACTATTTAACATATTAAACATGTATATATTTATATACTACACGATGAAGTGAGCATAAATGCATTTTTTTTTCAATTACAGAGTTAAATTTGGGAGATCTTTATTTTAGTCAATATGCAGCAGCATACTGATTTGTGTTCTTTTAAGAAAAAGTGGATTCCCCTTGGCTCTATGCCCCTTATAAGATGTGAGATGCTGTGTGAAGCCAGGAATTCTAGACAGCATTTGAAATAAGAATAATAATGCCTTGTCCGTGGTTTTAGCTAGAAGTAGACCATGCCAGCGTTTTTATGTGAAGGCAGATCTGTGTCACTTAGTACCTTACTACGCTGTGGGGTCTCTCTCCACACCGTGTGAGGATCATGAGTCTATCAATGCATATGGTCAACCATGTCATTTCAGTGACGTGTACGCCGTCAGGAGCCGACAGTCAGTGACTGATAAGTGAGAGTGGTCACTGTGCTATTCTGGAGATACTGGGAGAGTAGGAACATTATGTCAGGAACACCCAAAGAGAGAGTGAGAGAAAACACAAAATCTTTCTTTTGGTCTAGTTTGCTGGAACTGTTTGGCGAGAAATCTAGATGCCAGCACGGTTGCCAGTGTTATCTTAACACATAGATCTGCTGAGGACACGGGCCCCATGCCTTAAAAGTCTGCTTGAGAGCTGACACGTTCCTCCTGAGGAGGCAGTGGGAATGCCCCACGTGGCGCATGCGGTCCTCTTGCCAGAGGGTTAGTGTGAAACCCAACCCTAGCAAAAGGCCAGGCAGAAGCCCTGGAAACTTCTGCAGAATTGTCAGGCTGGATTCTTGCGACATGTCAGTTTCATGAAAGGAAAAAAAATGGTGGGGATTATTCTAGAATAGAGAGAGGGAGAGGCCCACTGCATGTGCAGGCATGGCCAACAGAACGCGCATTTGAGTTAAACCCAGAACCTTAGCGTAAGCTGAACGACCTCTCTTCTCCATCCAGTAGAGAGAAATGTATGCTGTGCTTCTTTGGGACTCATTAATGAGAGTCACATGTAGGCGACAGCAGACGTACTCTAGTCCCACTTAGTTGCTGCAGGGTAAGAACCAGGCCTCTTCATTCACAGACACTGACGCCTGCGTCAGGCGGCTTCCATACTGAAGCGAGCTAGACCTGCAGTCTGAGCTCACTGCCGGATCCAGATCCTTGTATTCTGCTGTAGCCTCAGTTTCCCCAGGGAGTACCATGTCCTTCCACCCTCGGATGGAGCTTCTGTTGACCTCTAGGACACTTGGTATCCTCCATGGCTCTGGCCCGTAATCACACTTTTCCTTCTGAGAAGTGTCCCATTTCTAGGTCTAGCACCGGCAGGCAGCTGCGGGAGCTGTAACCTGAGCAGGAGGGGGTTCCTGCTGGGAACCTCAGAAACGCTGGCTTTTCAAATGGCTGGAGTCGAAAGTTTATTCAGCTGCTCCTTTGGTTTTGGAAACTGTATCAGGGTTTGAAAATTTTAAGCTCTGGAAAATATTTTAAGCCTTTTTGTCAGCTAAGGGAAGCCAGCTTTATCTCGCTTCTGGGAGGGACTCTGAGGCCCACAGTGCAGACGGTCGACACGTTTTCCCCGAGGGGATCGGGTGGCCCTGCTGCCGCCTCTCACTCCACAGACATGACGCGGTTTTGTGATCGCTGTTTCTGACACATGCAAGATTGAACTGTTTTATTCATGTAATTTTCCTTTCTGTTTAGGCCCTAGTAATGCATGTCCACATGCTCCAGTGTATCCATGGTTTGCAGATTTCATGAAATAAAACTTAAAAGTGTTTTAACCTTATTTTTAAATTTTAAATTGCATCTTGTTCATAGGTTTTACTTACCAGAGGTAATCAAACTGAAATTAATCCATTGTTGAGAACAGTAATCACACCAGTCCGTTAGGTGCACATCTTGTAGAAAGACGGGAAATGCTGGTGGTCTTGGTTCCAAAAGACCACAGGAAGGGTTTTATCAGCAATAAGTTTTACTCTTTGGTTTTATGACATTTTTAGACGTCTTCTAATAGCTGATTTTAAATCGGAATTTTATGTTTCTTGTTTTAAATTGGCTGATAATCATGTCTTTTTTTTTTTATGTTAGAAGTAATATTTGAAGAAAAATCTAGAATGTTCCAGGGGCTCATTGTCCCCCTGAGGTCCATAAACACAGAAGACAAGCCCATTGCCCACCATCTGCTCCCCACAGAACCTCTGCCTGGTTTCCTCCATCTTCTCTCCCCTCTGCCTGTCTCTCTGATGCCTGTTGAGCCTAAACCCCAGCTTCCTGCCTCAGCTCTCTGTGCCCTGTTCTCTAGCCTCAAAATAGAAGTTGCCACTGATCCCAGGAAGGAACCCGAAAGCCTCCTCACAGGCCAACTGGAGCTCCTTTGTCAGACACCTCCACCCCCGCCCCTCCCCTGCCTCCTAATCCCTTCCTGTGTCACCAGGGACCTGCCCACCGAGTCTGCCAGGGCAGGGCCGGGGCAGGCAGTGAGAGGAGCTAGTGCCTTCCAGTGGCGGCTATTTCCCACCTGTTTATAACTGTCCACTGTGCTGTGAGCCCACATTCTTGCCTCTTTCCTTTTCTTCCTTTGTCGCACATCCTTGCCGTCCACCAGAACCCAGCCTCCTGCGGAGGGCAGTGAACAGCCGTGGGGCAAGGCAACAGGTCCCCAGTCTTGTGGTTCTGATTCCTCCACAAGGTCTAAGCTTCGTTCTAGATCAATCCTGCTGGAAACCGTAACAGCACCCACAGCCTTTACTGACAGCCGCCTGTCCTCACAAGACTGTCACCCCACTTTATAGGGAAACGCCCTGCGTGGTTGCTCGTGACCTGCAATCTCATCAGATTCACTACGGACACATTCTGAGCAGACTTAGTTTCCACAGGGGAGAGGGAGACCGCTTTTCCAGACTTGGCTGTAAAGGGCTAAGACGAATAAGTGGAAGTTTCTGTAGTTCTGGAGAGCTGGTGGAGCATGCAGACCACCCAGGGCTTTTCGACAGCCACCTTCCTGTTTAGTCTTCTACTTCTACTTTAGCTTGTTTTCCCTCCCACACCGATGGGGATTTATTGAGGGTGTCTGAGTGTGGCACCAGGTTACATTTATTTTCGGAGGGGTATCGGTATTAAAAAGAACTAGCTGTCTCTCCAATTTAAGTGTTCGTGAGCTGAATTATCACTTACATGTTCTTCTCAGGATGTAAGACACAAGGAGCATTTTGTGGCCCTCACTGTTTGAGGACAGTCCCAGCCAGCATGACTCCTGGCTTCATCCCAGTGGTGGGATAGCTGGGGGACCCACGTGGCTTGATCAGAGCAGTGTGTGTCACGTCTCCGTAGAGTGAGTCAGCTGTGAAAACCTCTACTTTGAAGGAAATTGGTGAAGGAAAATGGGAAGCTGGCAAACTTGAGGGTGTCTCCATCGGGGCAGGTGGAGGACAGGTGGGGAAGCAAAATGACTGTTAGACTGAGCCTCTGTGGAAAGCTGAGTCCTCAGGGAACAGGGTCATTAACTCGTGGTTAGGCAAAGGTCAGCTTGTGGCGGATCTTTGTTTCTCTCTGCTTTTCTCTTTCTCATGGCCTTGGGCTACCTCATTTCTTATCACCATAGGCTCTGTATCTGCTTGGGGCTAGGAAAGCCCAGTGATAATACCCGGCCTAAGGATTTTCCCATTTTACTTTCATTAACAATTCTGTTAAAAGAGAAAAGAAATGAAACCTGTTTATTGTTTGGGCCATAGTTGTTTTGTCTTCAAGTTAGACATACAAGATTTTACATAAGCGTTTCTCAGTAAAGTTATTTTAGGGGCCATTTGGGTTGACTAAATCAAATACGATTGATCAATCATGATAATTTGGTTTAATAGTCTACTAGAGCCTATGAAAACCTTTCTCATAGTGCACATGATCCTTATAATATGGCCTGGCACATAGCAAGGATTTATTAAACATTTGCCAAACACTGGATGAATGTAGAACAATTTTGTGAGACAAGTAGGGTTGGTATTTTATCAACACTTTTAAAATAGAAAACTGAATTGGTTTAAATATCTGGCCAAAAATCATACAGATATTAAGTTCTTTGTTTCTGCCATGAACCTGTGTAAGGGGAGGGTGCTGTTAAATGTACTTTCAGAGAACTTGAACTTTATCACAGCAAGGATCTTTTTTTTTAATGAGGCAAAAAGCTAAGACGTTTTCTTGCCATGAGCTCCTGGGGTCTGCCTGGCGCCTGTTCTGTCAGAGCCGCTGCTTGTTCTTAAGCAGCATCCGTGCTCGGAGAGCCTCCTACTCAGTGTGGAAAACGACACGCTGGGAAGCGAGGCTCGAGACCCCAAAATCACCGTGAGAAGGCAGTGTTAGTATTCGATCCCCACTCTGGGTTTCCTGTCGCTTGCATGTTCTCAGTCACCTCTATTATGTGGTACTGACATGAAGTTGCTTATCGTAGCTGACTACAGCTCTACTTTAAAAAAATCCTTTTTATTGGAAAGAAGGAAATAGTGGAGTTTTGGCTGATCTGGCAGATATTAATTGATCAGTTACTGTGTGCTGGTCGCTTCCTGAGGTTCTGGGAGTTGGCAGTGAACAACAGACAGCCCCACATCTTATTATAGTGGGGGAGCGACAATCAACATGGACACCCAGCAAACAAGTGTTAATATATCAGGAGGTGGTGAGAGTTACGGATGAGAACAAGGTAGGGACGCCTCACACCGTTACCTCTCTCGTATCAAGCTTTGCTTTCCCACAGCCCGAAGAGCGTCATCTAACATTTGTATTTACTGGCTGGCCGATGATCTCCCTTCTTTCCTGGCTTCCAGTAGCACACACTCCATGAGGGCAGGGGTATTTCTTATCTGTTTGGTTCACCATTGTACTCCCAGAGGACAGAGCAGTGCCTGGAACACAGTAGATGCTCAGAAAGTGTTGGGCAAATGAATTGAATGCATGTTATACGGGTGGTCAGTGTAGGCTTTAGTCTGAGTAGAAAAGTGACCGGAGAGGACTGTGTCCTATGGCTATCCTGAGGAGTACTGTCCCAGACAGCAGGGCCCGTGTGGCTTCAGCAGCGTGAGCAAAGGGAGTTGAAGCTGAGGTCAGAGAAGGTAACCAGGGGCCTGGTCACCACGCAGGGCTCTGCAGGCCATCCAAAGATTCAGGAAGATTCTGTTGTAGGGTTGGGGTGATGGAGTGACATCACTGTTGCTGCTGTAACGGAAACAGACCAAAGGAGGGCAGCGATGGAAGCAGGAATGATGGACCAGAGGCCACTGCACACCGAGGTGGAGACGCACGTGACTTCCGCCAGGTGGCAGCAGCAGGGGTGATGGGAAGTAGTCAGAGTCTGCGTTTGCATTGTTCTGAAGGTGAGGCGCGGGAAAGAAAGGCCTTTGGTTGTAACACTAAGGGTGGAATTGAGCTGTAGGAGATGAAGAACAGCTGGCTTGGGGCAGGAAACAGTGTGCACGTTGGCTGTGTGGTGACTCCTGTCAGGCCTCCAGGTGGGACTGTGGGGCGGGGTAGGTGGGCTCCAGTGTGAAGTAGGCGGGGGAGGCCGAGCGTACAGATGGTGCTGAGAGTCCGGGTGCTGGGTGAGGTCACCTAGGGAACAGTGTGGAAAAGCAGGGACCTGGGTGTTTCCATGTGGAGTGTGCAGATAGGAGGCAGACCCAGCAGGAGACTGAGAAGATTGATAAGTGAGGTGACAGGCAACAGGTGTTTCAGCAGGAGGAAGCAGTCACCCCTGTCCTTGCTGATAGATGGTCACAGAGATGAAGACTGAGAACTGAGCGACTTTGTAGGCGGCAAATTGTTGGTTCACATCAGCAAATATAGAAAAATTGATAATACAGGAGATGGGGTGATTGTCCCGGGGAGATTTAGACGCATTGCTTTATGACGTTAGTAGCCAAGTAGGCGGTTCTGTGGTGTCCGCTAGCAGAATACTGGTAGAGGGTTACCTCAGTTCCCGACATTCGTGGACAGGCGTCATCAGTCGCATGGCTTTCTCTCATAGAGGTCAATGGAAACTCTTTTTGTGATTTATGAATATACTTGTTCTTAAAGTCAACTGATTGGCTCTTTATGACGAAAAATAGAGAATTATTTCCCAGAGGCAGAAAGGAAAAATAATTGTTTCCTTTTTTAAAAAATGAGATTTTTTTCGACCTTTCCAAACTGTATAGTTACTGGCTTGTTTGATTTTCTGATTTTTTTATTTTTTTTTAACTTTTCAGGCTGGAGTGAGACAGCTTTATGTACAGATCGACTTCGCAGCCATGTAAGGAACAAGAAGGAGCTGCTTCTCGGGGGGACCTTTTCCCGGTACTGTACAGTCCAAACATTGCACCTAGCTTTCTGAGAGGGACCATCACTACAACACCCAGCCAGGCGGACCAGTCGACCCGCGGCGTCCACGGGGGACCAGAGCTCAGATCCTGCCCTGGACTTGGGGTCTGGCCCTGTGCTCTCCCCTCCACACCAGGGATTTCTGAGGTTTCTGGTTTTGTCGCAGGGTGTTGCTTTTCGTTCCTTTGTTTCTCCTTTTTCTTTTTTCATGTCAAATGTCCTCATGCCACCCTCCTCCCAGCCAGCAAGAAATTCACATTGTGGGCCTCCAGCCGCCTGGACCGTCTCCATGGAAGCCGCTAGAAACTGCTGCTCTCATTCCCACAAAACCAGTGTTCTTAAAAAAAGGAGACGGGAATCGTTTTATATGTAATGTCACACTAGTTGACATTCTTTGGTGTAATCACATGTTTGTAAAATTGTTTGTACCTTGCAAACTTATGAACCAAACCATATTGGGTTTTCAAAGTGCCTTCGTCTCAGAAAATGTATTTGCCAGCATAGAAATTCACCATCCAAGGCTGTGTGTGTTTTTCTAAACGGATATTCTGTAATCTGCACAAAATGAGACTTGTTAGTGTACAGAGACTGCCTCTCTGTGTACTAACAGCAGAGGTTAGATACATGGAAGTTCTCTTTTCATTGCTTTATCTCGTCAAAAAATAAAAGGTGGTTTTTTTTCTTTTTAAATCAAATTCAACTATCACATTAAATTATTTTGTGGACTGTGTTTCTGAAACTTTGCAAATGCTTCTGCTAGAGAGACAGTTGTTTTGGCTTACTCCAAACATTTGCTAGATTCCAAATTTCTATAACAGCTACTGTGTCTGTGACGAACTTCCTCATATCTGTCCTTGCTGTCTTCTGTGGATTCTGTCATTGAAGGGAGAAGGCAGTATGGAGGGAAGACAGGTGATGGTGACGACATTACTTTGCTTCTCCATCCTTCAGATGCTGAGTCTCACACTTGCTCTTGTAGGCGTTGCACAAATGCCTGGAGCAGCAGCATTGCATCTGAACTGTAGGCGGTACAGAGCAGACATGGGAGACCTCTCCCTAACGTGGGCTTCACCAAGAAGCTCACTTCTAGGTTCCTGTGTGCTTATTTGAAAAGTAAAGTCGCAGTTTGAGATGACAGGGGCTTGTCCAGTCTATTTAAACATCCTGTTGTAGGAGGAAATACGGATCCGGGTGGCAGTTTCCCGCTGTACTTCATCTTACTACAATGCGTATTCCCCTTTCACTTTAAAATATTGAAATTGTCAGGGAATAAGACCTTGCGGATGGGAGTGGTTGTTTAGAATGCAGGTCGATAATAAGCACTTTTTCACTGATGAGGCAGAAATCACTGTTGATTTTGTCTAAGATCTAGTTTCCCTGTTTCTGACCCACGGTTTATGAACGACACTGTTAGGGAAATTAGACTACTCTTCATGCTTTTCTGAGCTCCTGCAGATGGCCACCAACTGTGGATTGTCTCCTTTCTTCAGACTAAGCAGTATTTTCAAAACAATCTCCTTACTGCCAGGCAATGCCAGAACTGAGGATTCCTGCAGCAGGCAGTGCTGAAAGAAACCAGCGTGGAGCTGTTAGGAGGGCAGGTACTCAAGGAAATGCGCCGATATCAGCACTGCTTCCTCGTTGTGTCAGAAGAATGTCACTTAGAGTCTGCGTCCACTGTCAGGCCTCCCGAAGCCTGGCTGTCCTCTGGGGGTGGGCACATTATGGGGAATGACATCCAGGTGAAGGCAGGATTTAGGACCTGCGCCTTTAAAAACTGATTGTGTGTAATTGTATTGACATTTCACATATGGAGAGAATATTGTCCTGTACTGTAAAATGTACCAGTGTTTTGAGGGTCCCACTCTGCCTTTTGCTGAGCCCTCCATTCCACATGGAGCTTTGTCCAAGTACACAGCAGTTTATTTAACAACACTCAATACCTGAGTGCTCGGGTGTGGGTTTCCTTTGATGAGGCATCGAATGTAGAGTAGCAGTGATGGGAAAGTATGATTTTGCACCTGCCACCTCCTGTCACTTGTCAGGTTGCCATAAACGTTTATGCTTTAATGAAATGTCTTTAAACCTGTGTGCGCAGCAGTAAAAAAGTTACTGAGAAAAGCACCTTCCTCCTCACTCTTTGGAGCTGCTTTGTCTTATAAGTGTTGTTGGCCCAGATGTATTGCTAAAGTAGATTGTTTCACTGAGAAAGACTACCTGATAATTGTTATAAAATAAATTTAGAGTGTCCCTATTTTTGGGCTAACCTTTGGGGGGAAAATTCTCTGAGGATCTGAGTATAACTTTGCTAATCTTTTGAAAACCAAAATAGTCTCAGAGAACAAATTTCCATAGCTCAGGGACAGTTTACCTGGCCAGGTAAGCTTCCCCAAGCAGAAATATCTACACTTGTTTTGTGTCTTTTAGTCTAGATCCTATTGATCGAGAGGAAGGGCTTCCCCAACGGTCCTGCTCCCTTGCCTTGCCGACTCCCTGTGAGTGTCTGTGGGACAGGTCGCGTTTAAATGTAGTTGTGTTCCTCACGGTCATCCCTTGCTGTCCTCTGCAGAGGCCTGAGGAAGGGTGGGCACATGTCATTGTCACTGTGATCCCCTCGTGTCCAGGCGGCCTCAGAATTGATGCCAGTAACCAAAATACTGTGACTTCTGTGCACTTTGTAAAGCGGCCAGTCATTGACTCAAGATGGCTTGGCCAGAGCCCACTGATGTTTTTCCTACTATAACCCATATATTAGATTATTAATATGAGCATTCTCTTGTGTAATGCTGGGATTTAAGAACAAAAATCTTTCACTGCTTAATGCAGAATCTGACATCCAAGGCGACTGTCCTTCTAAGCAGTCTGTCCTACCTCTCATTTTCCAGATGAGAATGTCAAGCCCAGAAAAGGTGTCCTTCACCCAAGGTCACAGAGATAAGCAGGGCAAAGCCAAGACCAGAAGCCAGGCCTTCGGACCCCAAGTCAAGAGCTCTCTCTACTTCCCTGCGTAGTATCTGCCTTTCTGTAAACGAGATGGAGCAGCCTTTGAAATAAAGAATGTCTGATCTCCACTTTCGGTACATGAACGCACTTTATAAGTGGAGTTTTATTGTCTTACTTTTCATACCTAATTAGGAGATTTAGAATACCATTTCCATAGCATTCTTTATGGAACATAATTGAAATTTTTACTTTTTTTTTTTTTTTTAAACTTTTTTACTCTTGTGAAGCCAGTTCCTGTTTTTTTTATAAAACTGATGACATTTGTGCATTGGATGCTTCAACTTGTGGAGTTTTCTCTTAATTTGTGCAAGACTCAGTCCAACGTCAGGATTTAGTTTCTCTACTTTGTATATATTCTCTGAACTGTGGTACTTCTCAGAAGCTGGGCTCCTCCACAGCTCTGTCATTCCAGCTTGCTCCTTTAGTTTGTGGTCACTGGGGAGCTTTTGGACTTTTCACGTTACTCTCGGAGCCACAAAGCATTGGGCCTCACATGTGCAGAACAAAGTCCATTTTTCAATTCAATAGCGTAAAATTCTGAACTCTCATCAGAATCCCAAATGCGAAACTGCTCCTTTCAATTCTTCATAAAAGCATTACCTTGAGAAAGTTTTCTGTCACCATTTTCAAAACAAATTACTTTTACCCTGACTGGGTAGCTCAGTTGGTTAGAGCATCGTCCTAATAGGCCAAGGATGCGGGTTTGATTCCTGGTCAGGGCACGTACAAGAATCAACCAATGGTGCATCAATAAGTGGAGCAGCAAATCAATCTTTCTCTGCCTTCCTCTCTAAAATCAATCAATAACTATTTTCCAATTTACAAGATCTTTGGCAAAAAAGAAAATTATTTTATTCTTTCAAGAACATTGATTAAAAGTTTTATTAATGGAAGAACATTGTTTCAAGACGTTATCCCCAGAAGCCTCGGTCTTGGATCTCCACCACAGAATGGAGACTGGCTTATGTTTAACCACTTTCTTTCTAACTCAGGTCACACAGAAAGGGTGGTTTCACCTCACCTGTGTTCAGTGTTCCTGCGTCAGGCTCTTTGTGTGGCCTTTTCATGAGATCACATTGGGAATCCTCACATTTCTATAAAGAATTCTGCATGATTTTACAATTGACATTTTCAAGGATATTTTCTCCGCTGATTCTCCTAACACCCCTGGGAGGAAAGGATTCTTAACCGCATTTCACAGGGGAGGAAGCTGCTGGGAGAAAATGAGATGCCCGGGCTGGAGGGCGGGAGCGCAGAGCATGGCCTCCAAGCCCCAGGCTTTTCTGGACTCTTCCTTCATATCTGTCTTCTGTGATGAGGTCAAGGCCCCAGAAGCTGTAGCCAAGCTAACCACTCTACTACACACTCAGTGAGCACTCACCGTGGCAGGATGGTGGTGGGGAGCGGTGGCTGCACACATGTTTAGACGCCTTCTTTCCATCGTCTCTTGTGCTTACTTCCTGCCTCTGCTGTTGAGCCTCAAGTGCAGACTAAAGGGAACAACCAGAACTCCTCTGAGCTCTTTGAGGAACTTAAAAAAAAAAAGTAAAAGTTTTATTGATCAAACTCACAGATGTTGGGGAAAATACCCTTTTAAGCAGCTACCTCTGAGTGTCAATAAATATTGACTGCTTAAAAGGCACTGACTTGAAGACTGAGTCAGAGCCAGTGTGAGTGGAGAGAACCAGACTCCTGGCCACGAGACATGAACCTACTAGGAAACTGTCTTTCAAGAAGTATCAGTAATTTTGTGCGGCACGAGAGGGGTACATAGGATCTGGTTTGCATTTCATTTTACAGACACCTTTTCAAAAGGAATAAATCTATTTTGTGATAAGTAGTAATCTATGCTTAAACCTAAAAATACTTAGCTTTGATCTTTTCCTATGGCTTTTTAGTATTTGACATTTTGATGCTGTTGGAAGTCTGTTAAAAAAACAAACACATCTAATATATCCTCTGATCCCTGAGCTGGGCATGAATTTATACCCCCATGCGCAGTAGATGTGTGGTTAGCTAAGGACTGTAGATGGTGGAGGGCACCACGGGCAGGGTTGGGACAGGCAAAACCAGTCACGTGCTGTTTATTGCAGAACCCAGCTCAGCTCTTTTTAGGCATTTTTGCACAAATAAGTTACTTTACATTCCCTTGGGCCATTTTTTTTTCAAGTAGCCCCATAAGCGAGCTGGTCATGCAGTAGATGGAAACGGGACATGAAGAGATGTTGGCTGTTCTGCATGTTGGATGGGAACTCGCAGAGCTGGGCCTGGATCCGGGGCCACTTGAATTTGTATTTTGTATGCAAGTGAGAAACCGCACTGCCTCTCTTGTTGCTATGGAAACTGCCATGTCCATATTACTTTAAGGACCTGCGTGGAACATGCCTTCTATTTCATTTATCCCAGATGTATTACCCAAAACTCTTCCTGAGATCTTGAAGGTGCCTCCATAAACACTACATACAGAAAGTGATTTAAATATTCCTGGGGTAGTTTCTCATCTCTTTTCCTTTCTAGATACTAAATTTTAGAAGAGCTTCTCTGTAGTTGATGTACTTCCCTTCCATCCTTGTTGCTGCTGCCCCTGTGAACTTGCCCTTCTGTTGGCGAGAACAAAGCTTTATTTTGAACTTTAGTATTTGAATTTTGTTTCTATATCACATATCGTGCGTCGATGAGGCTCCGTGAAGACTCTACTTGGAACTAGATATGTCCCTGCCAAGAGTTTGGCACATAACCCCCCAGCCTCCTCTAACAGCACCAAAATCAGTGATATCTCTGCCCACGTGGCATTTTCCCAAACATCTGTGAGTTTGATCAATAAAAAGAATGGGCCTTTTACATCAGAAATACTGTGAATGAAACATTGCCAAATCCTTCCCTAATACAGCCTCAACGCCCCACAACAGCTCACCTCCTGTCTCAAGTGGTTTCTAATGTGTGGCCACATTTGAGTTTGGGTTGGGTTCCCCTGGAGAAGGTTGTGGCCTCAACACATTTCTGAGCAAACATTTGTGTGCAAGGCGAGGCTGGAATGTCAGGATCCAAGACCTGTTTTGATTGGTTTGCGCGTGCAAATGTGAGCGGTTCCGATATGCCTGAGTTCAGGGCCACGGCCTGTGCTGCACTCTGCACTGTTACCTGAAGACATTCTCGTATGCTTTGTTTAACCTCAGATGTATTTAAAGAGAATAAACAACTGTATCCAAATTCTTCCAATAAAGCTTCTCTTTAAAAATCTTTACCTGAGTGGTACCTATCAGTTGGATGACCTGAGAAGAATGCTGAGCCTAATGGTGACGCATAGATTCTAGAGGCCTCGGGACGGGGACGGGGAGGGGGAGGTTCTCGGGCCAGGAAACAGCAAGTCATGGGTGAGCGGAGAGCGGTCTGAACACAACATCCTCACTGTGGCTCCTGCTCATGATTTTACCCATAACCATGTCTCAGTATTTATTTCCAGATATTCCTGTGAACCCAAATGGCTCTCCAGCCTCATTCTCTCTGGATGACCTCAGCTTAGAGGGAGTACAGACCTAACCTCCACTCTCCTTCCAATTTCTTTCCCTCTAAATCAGAAGCAATTATTTTTCAAAGTAAGTTTTCCACAAAACCAGACCCCACTCCTCCTGCTCCTCAGACACCCTTCTCGAGGCAGCCTCTCGCTGGTAGCCATCCCTGCCGCACAGCGAAGGCTCTGTCCCCGGGGTGTGGCCCACACACGCTCCCCCCATCTCCTTCTGACCATTTCCACGGCTCCTCGTCTGTAGTCAAAGGCCACCATGTTTTCTCGTCACGTCCATTGCAGGACTATCAGCATCTCCATTTAACAAAGAGCTTCCTACTCAAATCAGAAATCTCAACACTGCCACCTCCATTTCCTGAAGCCCCATCACAGGGTCCTTCTCTTCCTTCCTCTGCAGTCTTTCGGATTCACCTTTCCCATCCCCACTGTCCTGTCTGCTTCATGGATGGCTGCGGCTTCCTGGCTATCCCATGTCACCTCCATTCCAGGCCCTCCCACCCCCACTC